GGGCAACCGGCCGGGCGGGGAGTGGCTTCTGGGGGCCCCCTCGGCAGCGCCGGGCCCGCGAGGCCGCCCTCGGAGCGCCGCCAGGTACGTGCGTTTTCCTTGTTTCCCGTGCGCCCGGAGCGCATTTCGGGGAAGGAACGAATAAAAACCCGGCTGGTGTGTAAGAGCCTTTCGCTGCAAACGTGTCTTTCTGCGGGGCTCAGGGACGGCCGCCACACGCGGGTTGGACACCGGCCCGGGGTGACCCCGCAGCCCCGGCGGCAGGACTGGCCGCCACTGCACCTCGGGGCTCGGAGCGAAAGCCCCTTAGGAAAAGCTTGACCCTCTTCTCCACGTTTCGTTTCACTCGCCCGGAGACCGTGCGTCCCGCCTCCGCGGCAGAGCCGGGCGCCGGGGCTTTGTTCCCTGCAGTCTCTCCCACCCCGGCCGCTGGAAAATAGGGATTCTTTTTCGAGCGGGCAGGGCGCGCTGTTGTGATCGGTTGGCGGAAGCTGGGGATGGGGAGACCCGACCTTGGCCCCTCGCTGGCTGGCAGCACCCCTGGCCCTGTAGCGAGCCCCTCCCAGCCCCGAGCGCCCCAGACTTGCGGGTTAAGGGAGGCCCGCGGGCTTTGTTTTTTCAGAGGGTTAGGGGAGGGCCGGCCGCTGGCCTGGAGCGGGCTCCTTCCCCTCCCCCATGCCCACTTCAAACAAAAGAAGTCCTGGGAGAATCATTTTTGGGGGAGAACTCTTTTGAAGGAATCTCTAGGTCCCCCGCCCCTGAGTCTTTACAACAAAGAGGGTTGGAGAGAGTTGAAGGAAAGGCGCGCTTTTATTTGGGGATCCTTTCAGATCCGGCACCTTCTCTCTCCCCGCTTTCTCACCTGATTAATGCTCTTTAGGTGACGTTTGGATTTGGGGGGGTTGCGTTTGGAGACTTTCAGAAGAATCCTCCTTACGTGGGAAGTCGGAGATCTGGCCTCCACGCGGTGGGGAAAAATCCCCCATGGAGTGAATTTATTTCTTACCGTTTCGGGGAAGATCGAAAATTAAGGAGTTCGATGGTCAAAGGGGGTTTGAGTGTCCTTTTCTCCCGCGTAAGTTAGAACAAAGGGCCGAGGCAAAAGGGCACAATGGGGTGGGGGCTCCAATGGAGCACGCAGTGGAAAGTTCCCGCGCACCCCCGAATGCTCTCCACGCAGTTTGGGCTGGAAAGAAGAGGAGCCCCCGCCCAGAGTGCGTTCTGTCCCAGTGCCCAGCCCCCCGAGACCTGCCCCGCTCGTCCCAAGTCGTGGTTACCGGGCCGGGGAGAGGGGCTCCGAGAGCAGGAAGGGCCCCCCTCCCCTGGGGGTACAGCGCGCAGTTTCGGTTTCCATCTTCCAGGGCCGAGACGAGGAGTGCGCGGCGCCCGGAGCTGCGCGCGTCCCCGCTCGCCCCGCGTGGCGCTCGGACGCAGACCCGCTTCCACCAAAGACCTGGACCTCCCTTCTTTCGAAATAAACTCAACGAGCCATGAAGGCTCCGGGTCTCCCTAGAAAAGGCGCCGAAGATTTACGGTCTGCCGAATTCCCCACGCTCTAATTATACACCCATTTTTTAGTTGGCGTATGGGTGGTGACCACTAAAATTTTCCATTTTGGAATAAAGAAAAAACAAACCACGAACGGTGCAAACTTCGCTCCTTTCTTACCCGCCTGGGCGGACCTTTTTCGAGTGGCATGTCCGGCCTCCCTGTGCCGCCGCCGCCGCCTCGGTCGGGCGCACGCGGCCTTGGACCCCCCTCCACTGCACTTTACGGGAATGTATTTTTCTCGTTCTTCTGCCGCCCAAGGGCGTTAACGGGTTCCTCCCTGGTAGAGGCCCTGTCGAGTGGCGCTCTGGGTGAGGTGCGGACTGCTTGAATCTCCAAGCCCATTCGGGGGTCTCAGCCCCCACCCCAGCCCCGCGGCCGGGGTGCTGAGCTGGAGAGCGAGCCTCCCCCGCCACGGTCCTACTCTGTTCCCCCTTGCCTTCCTGGGGGCCCACGCTGAGCACGAGCCTGGGGCATTGAGGGGGGCCCCCACTGTGCTGGGGGATCCCCGGACCGACGCCGCTCGCCTCTGCCTGGCGGCCCCATCCCCCCACCCTCCTCCCTTTGTTCGCCTCCCCGGACACTGAGTTGAAAGTGGCAGGAAAAAAATAATTAGATGGAAATCAAAGATAAAACGGGGTGCGCTGGCGGCCGAGGCAAGGCCTGGCCGACACTCCGCTGGCGCCTCGTAAATCTTCGGAGCCTGACAAAGGCCTTGTCCTCCTGTTACTGGGAATTAGGAACTTCTCCGCGGCCTCCTCGCCGTCTCCCCAGCACCCCTTTTCGGGAGCGAGGGCAGAGTCCTTGGGGGTCCCCCTACTTCCAGCCAGCGCACGATTTCCCTGGTCCAAACCTGGAATCACTTAATTCTCAGAAATGAATATTGTCATGGGGTGGGGGGTGGTCTGGACAGCGAGTGGCTGGGGCCCAAGACCTCTGTCCCAGAAAGGGCTGCAGATACCCCCACCCCGTTGTGAACAAAATAAATATGATCGGGGTGCTGCACTTCCCTACTCCAGGCTGCCCCACGAGGGTTGGGGGAGGACCGAGAAGGGTCGGGCGGATTAAGCCCTCACCGACTCCTTTGTCTGGCCCTGGCCGGGCCGCTGCTGAGACCGGCGGCCGGCCCCCCTATGCGGGACGACCGAGGACCCCTTCTCAGCCCAGGTGTGCAGGCTGCGGGTGGGGACCTCGGTCGCAGTGCAAGCTGAGTCAGGAGGTCCCCACGCTGTTAATCGGAGGTCTGCGTGTCTGAGGTCACGGGGCCCACCTGTGACCCACCGGGGGCCTGAAACCCACACTTCTCCAGCGCGGAGACCGAGAAAACGTGAAAGAAGCCTTGGCCAGTTTAGATTGTTTTAAAAACTCGAATTAATCGAGAAAATAGTACTCGCGCTTCCGAAGGCAGAGAAGAGGTTTGGGGGGCGGGAGTCTTTTTTTAATTATACCCCTTGTTGTGGTGGCTGTTTCTGACCTCTTCATACTATTAAAAGAAATGTTGCCACATTTAATTTTTGTTGCCACGAGCTATGGAGGGTAGCCCAACATTCTGAAGTAATTTGATAAGCCTCCAAGTAGCAAATCCGAAAGGGAGGCTGGCGGCCCAGGTATCCTTTCTTTATAACCTGAATTTACAATGAAAGCATTCTCCTTTATGGATATAATAGATTAGATTTCACAACTTAATTCACCGGAATGGCTCCGTTTAAGGGAGCTCCGGCTGATTTTATTACGCCAAGCCAAATTGGATGTTTGTGGTCTTAACGAAAAGCGATTGTGACATAAAATATATAATTTTTAAAATAAAAAACCAGCGGGTTCGACCCCGTCCCCTCCTCTCTCCATCCCTCCTCACCCCCGGGTCCCCCAGTTTGGGAAATACCGAGCATTATTTGTGTGTTGATTTCTGCCTGAGAGACCGGAACTCACCCAGGAAGGGGGTGAGCAGGGAGGGGGCTGGGCGCCGGGCGCCGCGGGCCTCGCGTCTCCCGCAGCCTGTCCCGCTCCGGGCGCCTGCCCTCCCCACGCCGCGCAGGCCTCGCACGCGGTGCCACTTCCCCGCGAGGGCTTGGGGCCCGCTGCTCGGGATCCAGTAAACGTCGTGATACCGCCCAACACAGGCCCTGGAGTCCGGGGGCCCTCGGAGCACCCATGGGCGCTGAAGGCTCTGCCCGCCTCGCGCGGCCCGGACGGCCCCCGGTGGCAGCGCGCGTCGGGGAAGACGGGCGCCGCTCTGAAGAGCCCAGCACAGGGACACCGGCATCTAGCGGGCTGGTCCGCGCTCCCGCAGGGCCTGCTCCACGCCGTCCCAACGACGAGAAGCAAGAGCTGCTACCAGGACCCACTGCGGCCTCCGCCCCGCGGCCCGTGGGGAATGCGCGTCAGCGCTCAGAACTTTCCGGGCCTAGCCAGCACCCCCGCCTCCGAGCGGACCCCGGAGCCCGTCCCTCCCCGGCCGGGAAGGGCGCGGCCGCCGAGCCGCGGAGGACCCAGGCGGGGATGGAGGTTTCGGTTGGCCGGTCCCGGAGGACCTGCCTGGCCCATCAGCGCCCGCGGCCTATTCTGCTGTCACTTCTGATTAAGGTCGGGTCCCATTCTCCCCGGACAGCGGCGGCGCCCTCCCCCAGCCCCGCGTATCGGTGGTTTGTTGAAGACAGATTTAGCCCCCAGCCCCTCCCGGAAGATCCGGGGCGGAGGGCAGCCCTCCTTCGCGGCCCGGAGGCAGGAGCCTCCGTGACAGCCCCACCGGGCGGGGGCGTGCGGGCTGGAGGGGCCGCGGGGTGCTCCACGTGGCGGCCGCAGGCCTCGAACCCCGAACCCGCGTGCGTGCCGCGCGTTGCTGGCGGGCTGTGGGTGCG